ATAAATTTTGCACTTTTTGAATGTGGTAGGGATAGCGATTATCTCCTTTTACAGTTCGCCAAATTGTTTGTGGTGACACTCCCAATACAGCCGACGCATTCCGAACGCTGGTCTCAGGATGATTGTCAAAATGTTGTAAAATACGATTCCCTGCCTGCAAATCTCTTCGTAACGCTGCTTGAAATCGGTTGTTTTCTTGTCGAATTGAAAATGTTCCAGTCTCTCGCAATCTATTAAATGTCAACATAAACACTCTTCGGTTTGGCACTCTTCTGTTTGGAAATCGTCGTGCATATTCTCGCACCGCCTTTAAAGCATTACCGTTGCAGAAACCGTATACAAAAACCATATCAGCATATTCACTATTAGAATACGTACGCGGCATATTGCAAAAGACAAAATTCATCTACTGTTAAAGGCTTTCAAAGAGCGACTGACAAATTCATAACAGAAAGTGGAAAATGTAATCAAATATGTCGGTGCTAGATATGGCAAGAAATGTAAACATTTTTTTTCAATTTCTCTGAAACGGAGCAAAAACGAGCATATGTCTATAGGACTTTTTTTCTTAGTTTTTTACTCCTCTACACGCTCCCGAAGTTTTGCCATTTAATTTGGAAACACCCTGTATAATACCGTTATATCTAGACGATTTATCTGAATATCGATAAATCATCGCATATCGGAGTACGATGTATTATACTTGATAATTTTCTCATTAATACACATTGATGTAAATAATAATAATTTCTTTCATGTTTTTGGATATAAATTTCTCGCCTGAGCTCATACACTAATAGCAATTAATGTAGAAATGTACGGAAAATGTGTTACATTTCAAAAAATTCACACTCTCTCAGAATTAATTCGATCGTGAACTTAGCCCCTGAAATATGAATTTGTTATGTTTCAATCTATTTTATTTAGAATTATTAATAATTATTTATATATTATTATTATTAATAATTATTTTAATAGGAATTTTAATTGGTGACCTAAAGTGTATTTTAATGAATCTTTAACGAATCTTTGAGAATACAGCAGACTTCCTCCATTTATCCAAAATATCGTATTTTGAGACTGTATATAGGAAAGAAATTCTCGCAACAATTATAGTTCAAATTCATACACAAAAGATTTATCATTTATTTATACCGAATGTAAGATACCAAGATATCTTGTGAATATTTGTTATCTCTTTTTTAATATCGAACAATAAATTACAACAGTATGTCATGTTATTTACATTAGTTCTTACCTTACCACATTCTGCTCGTGTCTCTCTTAAGAAATATTACTATGATATTTTTGCATAGATTCGAGACGTTATGGCGAAATGAAATATATAGGATTGCAGCATCGGATCGTATAATTCAGTTATTGATATATTCTAATAGATAATGCATTTAGAAATTTATATTTGCACACATAACGAGTAAACTTTGCTTGTCCCGTACGTTCACCGAGTTAAAGGATTTATTTTCCTTGCATATACAGATATTCCTACGATTTTATTTAATTAGGTACACTTAAATGGCATATCGCGCGTGCAATGCAACGCATGCCTACGTATTTACACGTATAACGTCAATTTGATACTAGAACGTAGTTATTCGCACGGTTATTGAGGCGACGAGTAATTATATATACTCGTTGCGTGATCGATGGATCTCAGCTCTCGCCCTATGTATACCTCTTTAAGAGGCAGATGTTTTTTAAGATTCATTTTCTGAACGTCCTCATCCTTAGCTACATTCGGAAACATCACCCGGGTGCCCCCGTGTATCATCTTATCCTTATTTAACATTGGGTGAAAAACAAGGACAAAACGATATATAGAGGCGTGATGTTTCCAAACGCAGCCCTTGAAAAGAGGCCGTATTGACGTTGAAGGATTGATGCCCTTTAAAAAAAAAAGAATATTGTCCACACTATTGTCACACCACTGTAATCTCTGGAGGGCGTTCGTCAACCTTCACTTTGTTTCTTGCAAACGTAAACACAAATTATTTCGCTGCACTAAAGTGCGAAGATTTTTGAAAAATCAACGACAAGAGATAGAGGAAGCCCAGCTTCTTCTTAAAAATACCAACTAACAATAACATAATAATGTTATAATTTTACACTCAACAACTGTTATATGTAACATGTGTTATATTACATTTATATTGTTGACTGTAAAGTTATGACATTCATGTTATGTTACTGTTAATTAATATTTACTGGCAGAGATAGCATATAAACATATATATACATAGGACTACGAATCCACGATATTGATGAAGAACGATGGTTAATTGATTGCGATGTAGAAGTTTTGTTTGGAAGTTACAGTTCGCTTAACTTAACGAAATCCTATCTTAAAAGCACCATTTCAGCACCAAGTCTCATTCGTTCTGAGCGCGTTTCGCTCGACCAGGAGACATTCCTCCGCATTTTAAAATTGCAGACTAAAGTGCACATGCATTATGGTAACGGCCATGGCAATCCGGAAAAATCCACGGGACCGCCCAGACCCGCATCTGCCTCCAGCAGGCTCATGATGACAGCCATCGCTGCCTCGTCGTTGCCGTCGGACGGGATCGAATTTGGTGATTCATTAATCGTGGTGCCGCCAATCATCTCCATCATGTCGTCATCCGGTGACGCTCCTGAAAGTAGGTGGATGTTAAGTTGTGCGTGATATCACTAATATTGACACGCGATTGAATTATATCGGCAAACAGAATCAACGCTATACTCTGCATAGTATCAATTCGCCTTTCATAATCTCTCTCGCACGAAGGGAAATCTTATGTAAGTTAAATTGTTCTCACACACGCGTTAACAAAACTCTTTTCCTCGTGAGAGAGAGAGAGAGGTTTGCTCTCTACTTTCTTTTCTCTCTGAATAATTTTGGCGAGCGCACTACACACCAAGAAATGACTCCTTAGAGACAGTAATAGCTATGACCTTGGTCATTCGCGATGCTGTTGAGCTGCACGTTGTTCGCTACGTGGTTGAACGTCGACGTGGGGTTGCTGCTGCTGTTGTCGCTGCCGATGCCACTAGGCTGGGAAATGTCAGGTATTCTCTCTGGCGATGCCGTCGTCGTGACCATTTGCGACTTTAATCAAAGACAAATAATTAAAAACATTAGTCGGTCCAAGCCAAATTCAGACAATTAGTAATCAGTTTTTAAATTCGTTATACTTTAAAACTTTAAATGATAAAAAAACAAAGAAAAGCCATATAAACAAGCAAAAAAAAAAGATAATTTATCAATATAAAACAGTTTTATATTAATAAATTGCTCGTTTGCTTGTTTTCTTCCTTTGTTTTTTCCTTTGAATTCAAATATATTTACCTCGGTGTTCAATAAACCGGTCTCTGTCGCTGGTCCAGGACTACTACCCGAGGAGGAGTCTTCTCCGCGTCTTTGTAAATCCAGTACCTCTTCCGCTATTTGCCGGCCGATCTTACTTACTTCCACGTGGCTCGAGATCAGTCTTTCTAATCCACCGTTACCTGTTTATTAGAAATTAAGCACGATCCTTCAATCAATCCTTTCGACAAATCGCGATTGTCGTATAAACGCGCGCTTCAAATCGCACTTACTTTGTGTGAAATAATCATAGTTGCTCTGCACGCTTGAGTCCTCAGATCTGTTATTTCCACCTGGACGTGTGTCGCAGCTGAAAAAAAGGACAGAGAACTCTTTATACGGTAACATCGCGATAGTTATACGGTAACAGAGAACTCTTTATACGGTAACAGACGCGTAGAATGTCGATCGTTGCTTACAAGATAGCGGAATTCTTAGCGATTAGATATTCGATGTCTTTGGTCCATGGATTTTTGAAGGACTTCCACTCAGACTGCAACCGCACGAAGTTCGCGTCCTTGCTCCTGAACCTATAGATCTGTGAAAGTGATAACATGTGAGATCAAAACGCGAAATCGTTATTGCGGGCAATAAAGATCTCTCTTTGCGTTAGTCGACAATCAAGTCGCTTTGCATCCTCGACGATGAGGGACTTTGCATATCGTACGGGTATTAACAATTCTAATACTTTACAATTTATTTTAATCCGATTATCATCGTGAAGAACAATTGCGAAGTGATAATGTTGAACAACACTTAATCACCTGCGTGGTAACGCGTTCGGAAGTTTGCAACACAGCTTTGTGAGATTCTGCCAGATGAGGAATGTCGTCGTGGTGATAATATTCGTACATACTGGTGCCCAGCAGTTCCTGAGGTAGAAAGCCCAATACTGGAGTAGCTCTATATGAGGACAAAAATAATTCTTTAATATATACAAGACGTCCATATATCATTTGTCGATATTCCAAAAATTTATCTTTTTTTATAATGCACATTTTTTAATCGTAAATAAGACTGAATAACAAACTATTAATAAATTGATCGCTTTTAATTATAGTTTTAGTAATTTTCTGCTTTTATAAATTATAATATAAGCAAAAATAAATAACAATAGAGAAAGACCGGGGCTAAGTGGGCATTTGTATGGATGAAATGAAGTTGCAAACAATTTTTTATTGCTATCTTGTAGTCTTATAATCACTTTATAAAACGCTAATAATCATTTGATTAAAATCATTAATTTTGTTATTGAAAGTTGCAATTGAAAAAAAGGTGCCCACTTAGCCCATTCTCCCCTAGATGTAAATAAATAAAAATTTATGAAATATATGTTTGTTATTGTATATTTTGAAGAAGAGAGCCAAGATTAGCAAATTTCCTATTTCCAATTTATTATATTTAAATTATATATAATATATTACTGTGTGTTATAATATATATCACAATCACTACAAATATTTCGCTAACATCTTCTATCTTTTGATAATGCTAATCGTTTTTAACGGTCAAATAACAATCTCGATATACCGACCTTTGGTCCACGAACAGAAATTTGCCATCCATTGCATGTCGCGAGACGAATTGTATGGGCCTTGAATGGGGCTTCCTCGGCAACATGGCCGTTGATATCGCTGTTTGGACTCGGCCGACCGCTACCAAGCAGGACAAATTGCACGCTTCGCCGTCGGCCTCGCCCTCCTGTTCCTCGAGGCCGATCTTGGCGGGCGCCCAGGACTTCAGATAGCCCGTGCACTGAATCACGCAATACTTCCAATCTAAAAAAGACGCGTCGCTGTGCAGACTCGCCGATTGAGATTGAATTCGCAAACTTTATAAATGATACAAATTACACTACCGTTTATACAAATTCAGGAACATTTGTGATTTTCTCGTATCACAAAAAATTAAAAGTTTTAAAATAAAAAAAAAATAAATTTAACAGCTTTATATCTTCTTTTTAAAATATATTTTTTAAACTTTCTTTACAATTTTTTTCACTGAAATACTTATATAATTTTTCGAAATGTTAGAAAATTGCAAGCATTTTCAAATTTATAAATCATAGTGTATATAATTAGTTTTACATTATATTTTATAGGTATATTGTTATATTTTACACGTATAGAAAATGAAGAGCCGATGAGACGAATGAAACGAAATTGTAGAGAACGAGTAAGGGGAAAGTATCGGGACTTTACGATTGCCGGTGAGATATTTGATGAGGATATATCAGCGATCCTTTCACCGGCGTTTTGCTGCGATACTGTACGGTTTCTACTTTTCACCTTTGACGAGCCATGCGACAAATTTTCGTGCCGTGTCTCCGATCGTGCGTGTGACTCTCCAAAAGACGCGTTTGCATCGCCGATACAAACACCCTGAATCGTCATATTTTTTCGCACTGCAAGGAGCTTTGCTTCTTGAAAGAAAATTGAATCCGTCATTGAACAAAGGACACGATTTAGAATTTTTTTTAAGTATTGTGTTCATTTAAAAAAATATATGATGATCACGATATTCGGACAATACATTTGTGTTATAATTTTTATTTAAAAAATTAAATTTACAAAAAGAACAATTTTATTGAAAGATCTAAAATTTTGTTGGATACAGATCTGAAAATAATTTTATTGAATCACAAAATAATTATTGAGAGAAATAATTCTATTTTCGGTCAAAACGGATCTTATAACATTAATGCTTAATAATACTAACATGCAAATTTTGGTAAATATATTTTTTCAGTTTTATAAACTGTGCAAAATAATTGTGTTAACAAAATACTTACATTGCAAATTAAAAAACGATAAGCAATATCAAAAATTTTAATATTCTTGCAACCAGTTTGAATTTTCACAAAATTATTTTGATGACAACAAATTTATTTTCAAATCTGTATTCAATAAAATTTTAGATCTTTTAACAAAATTGTTCTTTCTATGTATTCATTAATCAACAAGAAAAGCTCTTCTTCTATAAGTTAAAAAAAAACACTTTGTATTCGTGATGCCCCTCAATACATTCATTTATATGTGCTCTTTTCACGATGATCGATTCGAGTTTCCTATTTTTCCGCGATTGCCGAATGAATTATACGATTTTTGGGTAATTAGCCGCACTCACCTACGTTTTGTTGCTTCTTTTTCCTGTGGCAGCTAGCGGTGGCGTCGGCTTCCTCCTTCACTTGCATCTCACCGCAACGGACCCCGTCGACTTTACGCTTCATCCGACAGAAGAAGGATCTCCGCGCTCCGGGGCAAAGTCGTGACACACCCTGGGGCACGTCGGTTTTCACCGGTAGCATGGCTGAAAAATTACGAAAATTAGCAACGGTCCATCAACGGACGATCAATAATTCTATTCGTACCGGAAAGAACAGTTATGTTGAAATATCTGAAAATTTAGCTAGATACAGATCTAAAAATAATTTTGTTAGACCATCAAAAATGTAGAACGCTTAAAAGTTGATGACAATACAGTCAAAAAGTTTTATCCCGCAAACACAATAGGTGTAGTAAGTCTTAAACCTTAAGACACTGATTAATCACAGTCGAATGTGAGAAGAATAATCGATTTTATGATTGGTCAATTCCTTAAGGCTTAAGATTTTATTATTTCTATTGTGTTTGCGAGATTAACATTTTAGCAACCAGTTTGAGCGTTCTATATATAATTATTTTGAGGTCCAAACAAAATTATTTTCAGATCTATATCTACTAAACTTTTAGATGATTTAACAAAACTATTCTTTCCGTGTATATCGCTGCATTCTATCTCCTTCATTTTTTTCCCCCCTTTTTTTACTTCTACCTGATATTTTTCTCTTTTATTTCTCACATCTCTCTCATATCTCTATCGCGAAAAACATTCATTATATGGCATTAATGTCGCATTTACTAGCGTCTTAAATATGTACTTTGACGATCCAAACGCTTTACATGCAGATCGCGTCGCGATGCAACATCCGAGGAATCCTGGCATTAGACTCGTTCGGTAACTCTTCGTCTCCTTTCCTCATTCGGCGTGGATCTTTCGCAATATTCTTATCTGGTAGGCACGCTAATTCTAAGATGTTTATCGACAAAGCTTACGCGAGCAAATGCTGCCGAGCGACTGACATTTATCGGGTAAAGGCGATGGAAGAGATGCGCACAGCAACTAATTTGCGTTCGCAATGATCGACGCGTTGAGCGTGAGGCAACGTTGAAAGGTGCTATAATTAATAGCTTTGAAGGCGGAAAGCTTTCTCATGGCCGGAGAAATTAATGCCTCGCACGCGGCTGGTCCGGCGCGCGCTAAGTCGAAATCTAGTATGTATTCCGTTTCACGCATGATGCGCACGATGTATCATTTTATCCTTTATTGTTCACATTAAAAAAGAATAAAATGATACATCATGCGCATCATGAATGAAACGGAACGCACTCTAGAAATGCAACAGTAATGTGGAAAAGCAACGGTCGTACACTGAAAAAAAAGATTGGCTGCTGCAGCAAATTAGATGGTAAAATATGGCATAGCATTTTTAATTGGCTGCAGCAGCCAATTTTTGGTTGTGCTAGCCTATCCGCAATGTCAGGATTTCGATAGGCTAATACAACCATGAATTGACTGCTGCAACCAGTTAAAAATGCTATGCCATATTTTACCATCTAATTTGATGCAGCAATCAATCTTTTTTTTTTTTCAGTATAATACAGAAACAGCTGATACTCACTTTTTGCGTCGATCAATCGTTCCCTCGGACTGAGATCGGAGGATGAGAGCTGCTCCTTTACCTTTGCAACATCCTTAGGATGCAGGATGTCGAACCAGCTTTGACCCAACAAGTCACCCTGTGTCATGGCATAAGATCCTTAAAGTTTGTAATTCAGTAAAAATTCAAAACGAGATACAAGTCGACTATAAATATAATGTGTATAGATAGAATTCATATATTATTAGCGGATTTACAAAGCTAGGGTATCCTGAGGAGGTAATGAAGAATTAGTAACATTAAAACTGGTTTATATGTTGTTTAATATCTATTTTTAATTCGTAATATTTATGCCGATTTCCGAAGGGAGTGCTTTTCTTTGAGACAAACGTCAACATTTTAAACGCTTGCTTGGTTTCTAAGTTTCTATAGCCATTGCTTCGAAACAGAATCCAATAACAAATTCGGTTGGACACATTAGTGCATGCTGGTATACATTAAAGTCGTAAAAATCGACATAAAAACGTATATTTAACGTAAATATATAATAACTTTACTGAGGTGCAATTTAAATAAAAAGAAGATATAAGTATATAACGTATAACAGCTTTAATATGCATTAATGAGTACTAAATCCAATCGAATTCGCTATATAAGAAAAGTCTTCAAAATATTGTTTATCTCATTAATGACTACCTTGTACGAGCTTGTTGTTCGTAAGAGCATTGTATTAATAAGCATCAGTGCGCATTAGTGTATTTAGATGAATTTGTTATTATATCTAAATCGTGACAAAAGGTCAAAATAATGCACTGCTAATCAAACGTATACTGCATAAATATCCATTTCAAAACATAATTTATAGCCAATGAGATGAATACGCAGCAGACGTTACTCAGACAGAGGCTAATGGTGGCACGGACATTACGATTAATTAACGCTTAGCCATTGAACGGAGATTCTTATATGCACGATGCTGTACACTCGCTTTCATGCGATATTTCTCGTACGTCACATTACTGATAGATTTCGGAGCGCGAAGAAAATTTGGTAGAGTAATTCAATGTAATTCGATACCTGAGAATAATTAAGAGTCTGCGAGACGGACTCGGACACGTAGAGAATTCTTCCGCGATCGCAGCCCACTACAAAGACAAAGCCCTCTGCAGCCTGAAACAAGGCAAGCTGCTTTCCATTACGCTGTAGAGAACAAACCGTTAATTACAGTCGAAGAGATCTTTTTACACTCGAAGAGACACTTTTTCGAATCTTGATTTTTGAAGAATAAAAAGATAAAGAAAGAAGAAAAATAAATAGGAAAGAGGAAAGAATAAAGACTCTATAACAGAGTTTGGTTACGAACAATTTTTGCAAAACAAGAGTGAGAAAGAAGAGTATATATACTGTCTCTTTTTATATATACTATTCTCATTCTAGCTTATTGTTAGCAAAGTTAATAAAAATTTGTTGCTAATAATTAACAGTGTTATTGTGAATTAGCAAAATTATTTTCAATTAAAATAATGGTTGTTGATGTAATATTTTTTTAGTGTACATAAATGCTGTCAAATACTAATGAATTATGGAACAATCAACAATATACGTTAAGCGAACGTAACATTGCGTTTTGCATTAAAAATTAAGGGGATCCTAAAGCGAAGCTCGAACTCCGACAAAGTCACTAGTGTCGCTGTTTTTCCAACACATCGACATGTGTCTACATCTTTATATATTACCACACCGATATCTCACGCAACCTATGATACATTCAGTCGCACATTCGTGTCAATTTTCGTATAACAAATTCGTCGCGATAAAGCGTCTAAGTCCAATTCTAAGAACTCGACATTATTTATTAGGGCAAACTACGTGTTTGTGGATTACTATTTCGTAAGTACAGGTTGCAAAACTTTCGTACCAAGCAAATGTCGTCACGATTTGACAGCTTGAGACGCCATGTTACACTAAGAAATGGTAAAAAATATATCAATTTTGAAATTTTTTATCGTTCTCATCATAAACTCCTCCTCACAAACACGTATTAATGCGTATACTTTAATCCTGAAAAAGGATTTTCGAATCTGTGAAAAAGAAAAATGTATTTGTTATACAAAAATTATATAATTTAGTCGGTAATACAGACGGCTTTAGGATCCCCTTAAAGATTACATTACACGCAATCATTTTCTGCAAACTATGATATTTGAGCGATTACCGGTCATATGGGAGATTTCGATGGAATAAGCCGAATTAACTTCCCATTTTTCGCACGTGTGTTCAGTCGCACGAAATCGCCCACGACGTTTCACTCGCAATTTCGCTGAGTCGCGAACACAATCGCTTCGATATCCGCACGAGCATATCATTTATCGTTGCACTAGTTACGTCCGCGTTATGTAATCGTTTGCGAGGTTCGACGTATCGTCGATCGCATGTAACGTTCATTAATTAATCATGTCAATGCGATTCAACGCGATTCGCGCGACCTAACAAAGGCATGCCCGAGTTCCTCGTGCTTTGTTACTCGAGGCACCTACGTTTCCCTCGTAAAGTTCGAATACGTCGGGATAAAAATATCAGAATCGGCTTTTACCACGACGCGGAAATATGTACACATATGTAAAGAATAGTTTTGCTGAAGCATTTAAAAATTTAACTAGATACAGATTTGAAAGTAATTTTATTGAACCGTTAAAATAATTAGAAACCTCAAGCAATGTTGCAAAAAGTTTTCACATTCTAACAACCAATTTGAGCATTGTACATTAAATTCATATTAAGTTATTACTCAATTTGAATTATTTTTTATTATTTCTATATTTAATTTATATATATGATTATCTAGTACATAATTATTTAGTTTTTAACTAAAACAATAGAGTTAAATAATTTAACTCCAGAAAATGTGTGTATTAAATTTGACTAAAATTTAATTTGTTATTTACTAAGTGCGTAAATAAAAAGTAAAAATAAATAAACAGTGTCCATATTAATGAACATTGTTATTTTGATATTCACTATAGAAATGGATTAATTTATATTTGGACATATATGAAAGTTAAAAATAACAAAATGCTATTTAACTTAAGAGATTGGATTATCATTATTCTTTTGATATCTAATGTAATGTACATAATTATTTTCAAGATTCGAACAAAATTATTTTCAGATCCGTATCTAAGGTCTTAAATACTTCAGCAAAATCGTTTTTCCTACATACTTTCGGTGTCAAACGGACGCTATAAACGTGTACATACATACGTTTTATTGCTGTATACGGCAAGTTTTACACGGATCAAGTGCGCGCCGCGACGTTCATACCGATTTTTGCCCCGTTTAATCGGCAGGTGATTTAACGTTATTCCCAACTGTAACACGCTCAGCCGGATCTCGATGGTAATAAACGTACCGATTCGCAATGGGGAGCTCTTTACGCCGCGATTAGAGCACGTTTAGAGCCGATCTGACTCGGTATGTGTCGGGCGTGGTCATTCACTCTCAGATATTTTCCTATACGGCAAACGCGCGTGAACGAGCGAGAAAGAAAAGAACTCCCCTCGATAGAAGATAAACGTGTATGTGTACACATGACAATGAGAAATATCTGGATCACAGGCACCAGCTCCGGGCTCCGCGCGTTTAAACGGAATCTAGGGTGAATAGGAGTTATCGCGGTCGTTGAAGTATTCCTTTTCCTTGTTTTCCGTGGACGTGGCAAAGTGTACGCTTCATAACCGATACGTTTCTATCGTCGAATAATTATACGTCGCTTTTCATGCACCTAAATAACCGTGACTACATTGGCACGCGGTGAATTTTAATCCTCAAAAAAAAAATTGTTTTTGTAATAATAACATGTGTAACGTTTGCTATATAACGTAGAATTAGAAGATTATAAATATGTATTATTATCGCAAAAGATTTTCTTTTGAACGCAAGGAGATATTCAGGGAAGTAATAATCCAATAATAACATGTATATGATGTTCGCTACAACGTAGAATTAGAGTAGACATTATATATGGAAGGAACAATTTTGCTGAGATATCTAAAAGTTTAAGTAGATACGGATCTGAAAATAATTATGTTGGACCATCAAAATAATTATGTAGAAAACTTTTAGCATAATAAGCAATGCTGCAAAAAGTTTCACATTCTAGTAACCAACCAGTTTAAGCTACGTTATTATTTTGATAACTCAACAAAATTTATTTTCAGAAGATCTCTGTATCTAGCTAAATTTTTAAATACTTCAGCACCATTCTTTTCGTATAAATATACGTTATCATAAAAGTTTTTTTTAACGTAAAGAAAGATTCGGGCAAGTATAATAATACGTTCATCAAGAGAAGCCAAATTTCACACAAACATAAATGCGTACAAGTTCGAGCGTTTACGGATTACAAAAGAAAATTTTTCTATTCTTTACACTGTTAAATTCATAATGTTGAATTATACTCTTTGAAACTTTTAGAATAAATTTCACTCTGAAGAGTGAAATCTCACTCTTAAAGACTGAAAATTGAACTACTCTTTTTTAAGACTGATTCAATTTTCACTCTTTAGAATGAGATGTCACTCCAAAGAATTTAGAAAGAATCAAAGAAATGGATTGATTTACATTTTGACATACGTAGAAGTTAAAAATGTCAAAATATTATTTAATTTAAGGTATTGGGTTACCATTACTCCTTTGATATCTAACAGTATACTACCTGAAACCTCATTCCCCCTAATTGGTCCGGAATTAAAGGCGTAGGTGATTTGAGAGCGCCTCGGCCTAAGGTACTATTAGCGTGATACTATAAATCTACATGCTTCGGACCTTTCCTTTCGCCGCGCCGCGCCGCGGCACGAGACCAAGCCGGATAAAAGTCTGTAGCATGCGGGAGAAAGGGAGTTATCCGCTGGTTTCGCTCCACTCGATCTCGTGCAAAAAGATTACAAAAGATACCAGCTCGGTCTCTTACGAGCCGCGGCAAAAATACATATCATAAATGAATTTCAAGTTAACGATACCAAGCATTGTGGTTTCAGTGAATTATCCGATCCCACGATCGTGTTTAGCACGAGCAACCATACAGGCGTTTATTCAGAAGTATCTAAAACTAAGCGAGACGCGAATGACGATGCAATGAAATGAGCAAACACGATCTATTAATTTGTTATAAAAGAGGAATAAAAACAAAGTTCTTTTTATAGGATAATACAAATAAAGTAAAAGTATCTGTCAACTTTTCATATAATTATTCGTAGTGCAGAATGGAGGAAGATAAGGCTTAATCATTATTATTCGTAACCGAGAAATTAAATTTAGAATATAATCTCTTACAACCATTTGTACATACATTGTTAAATTCATAATGTCAAATTATATCCAATTTGAGTTATTTTTAATAATTTCTACAGGTCGCCACTGCTCCCTATTGAATATGTCATTAATTTAATCCAAAACAGTGAAATTAGATAATTTAACTCCAGTAAATAAGTATATTAAATTTTATTCAAATTTAGTTTGTTATTTAATAAGTGCATACCTTAATATGGACGTTGATTATCTTGAAACTAATTCCAGAAATAGATTGATTTACATTTTAATATACATGGAAGTTTAAATAACAAAATGTTACTTAACTCAAGGGATTGGGATACTGTTGCTCCTTTGATATCTAACTGTAGATATTGCGCAACTACCGTTTAAGTTAGACTTACTTGAAGTATGAGCGTCTTGAGTTCCTGATCACTGAGAAACGCGGGCTTATAGTGACCTTCCGTGTATGAGGTAACCGCGCCGAGGATAGTCTTGAGGTGCTGCACCGCCATTCGCAGCACGGTCAGCTTGTCCAGCTTCCGCGACATCGCGTGACACATCGGTACCATCGCCGATAGCTCGGTGATGTATGTATTCATTTTATCCCTCCTGCGCTTCTCGATTTCACTATGGTTCTGCCTGAAAACACAGAAACATCGGTCCTATCAGTTCGTCAAATTTTAACAAAGAGAAGAGTTTTTATTTTAGACAAAAACAAAAAGTCTTGCTGCATTAATTGAAATCCTGATAGATTCTACTAGAAAAGTAGACAGTTATACTTGAATCTATTCTAGCCGAGATAACACCAGAATTCTGATTGATGTTACTAGAATCTTTTGGTTCGTTTATTTTCAACCAGAAATTTTTCTCAGTACCCATACAGCACCGAACGTTTCAGAAAGATATCAGAAAGGTTTCAAAACCATTTCAACCTTTCACGTTTCACATGTAACATTCCTGCAAGCTTTCTGCAATATGTCATGTGAAATGTTGTCGATGGAAATCTGTCTGAAACCTTTTATATGACACAATTTTTCAACCTTTTCAGTTGAAATATCTCTGAAACTTGTCACTTGTAATAACATTGAAAACCGCTCAATTGAGCTATTTCTGAGCGCTTTCGGATGATATATTCAGAAACTGTCGCGTGTCTGATGATATATATCTGAAATCATATATGAAATTATATGTAAGATATATTACTTTCCTCGCTTCCCTATAATAACTTTCCTAGTTCGCTTCTCGAACCGCCATATTGCATGCCCTCATCGCCTGACCGGCCTGACCCGCCATCCGCCACCATATTGAATCCGGTCAATCCCGCGCCCGCCAAAATGTTTGTCACTTGTTACCCAACGTTCACTGAGAATCACGGTCGCCTTTTGTGCTTTGTGCTCTTTGCACGTTTCGTTTATATATTATATATTAATTATAGTCTTCGATCCAAATAGTGCAGTGCATGCTTTTTGAATCAGGTAATCGATTTGTTATTATATATACATACCGAAGTAAGAAAATTAACTATAATATAATGCTCGACGCTTGCCTTCCCAAGAAAAATAGGTTATGTATTTTCCACATTTTA